GTGCGTTGCGGTGCCCCCACAAATAGAATACAATTCTGCGGGAAACACTGCACTGTATAAGGGTTAGTGTTAGAAATGCCAGAAAAAAGACAAATAAATTGAGTAAAAACAAAACAGAAAGTATGGTTTTCCCAACAATATCAACTTCTTAAGAAAACCACAAAAGACAAAATGAAAGGGAGTTCTTTCCAGTGTAAGTAGAGCTAAGGGAATGGGAGTATGGATAGTAAATCCAGAAGGTAGGGGCACCCACTGGTTGAAATCCAATTCCCTTTGAGAATCCAACAAAAATGTCATTTTCGTTTTATTGTGGTATTTTTCCCTATAAAAAAAGAGCGAGTGGTAATTCTCCCTTTGTATTTCTTTTCTGTCTTACTCAAACAATAGGGAACCTTGCCAAGGAGACAGAGGAGAGGTTGGAGAAGAAAAACATTTCTAAAAGGGCTTTGATGTGAAACGAGTAACCGGCAGAATATCCTTGGGCTGTTTCTGTGGTATTTATGGTTTACGATCCATTGAAAGATCTGAAAACTGATCTTAAAAAGTGTTTCACCACGAGGTAATCTTCTAAAAATATGATTATGTGCGCAGATATCTTTTAGTGGTCTGCAGAATTTGTGTAGGTAATTTGTCTTGTTATGCACTCATCATTATTGCACTATGTAAATACAATCTATGAAAGTGGTTTTGCATGCTTAAGCCCATTTATTACAAATATTGTTTTTATATTACATCAATTTTGCAAGGAATTCTTCGATGTTTTAGAAAAGAATTAGCTTTGTTTGGCAACCTTTTGCTCCTGAAACTTGTTTAATGCATCTCCATGAACCTCAAGTCTATTATTTCTGATAATGTTATTGTAAAGAGGATAGCAAAAGTCAAATGTTCCCCGCATAGCACTTGGTTTTGATAATCTGACAAGTCTGTTAGGCATATTCAATGCACAGCAAGTGTTTCAGCAAGTTTCAAGAACTGCTTTAAATGGAAAACAATGGCTGCCTTGAAAGGTAAAACACAGCAGTTTCACATTGATACTAGTGGGAAACGGTGTCATTATCTGCATGAGAAAAAGCCTTTAAAGGAAGTGAGCAATGAATGAAAAAGGATGGGCTGTTGTATACATTTGACCTGGGTGACAGAGAGAGGAACAGAGGAAATGAGACGGGAGCTGGACAGGAAATGACACTCACTCCCACCCAATGAAAAGTCAAATGTGGAACATTTGAGTGTGAGGGCTGTCACCAGAGTTGGGTGTAACAATATTACTTTTGTCGGTAACGGAGTAGTGTAACGCGTTACACTTTTATAATTCAGTAATCACACTACAGTTACAAACATTGCCCCGACACGCGTTACTTCGTTACTTTTATAAAATAATCACACTCACTGACAGACAAGAGGGGTTTCCGCCGCAGGTTTGTATACATGTAGGCCTACGTAATCTTGCGCGTCCACATCTCCACGTGCAGTGCTGCATAACGGCCTGTCTACACTACAGGCATCGAAAAATGCTTTCAACGCTTCGCCCATTCACTTGAATGGGGTGACGTAGAAGATTTTTAATCTTCGCCGAACTGCATTGTGGGGAGCATGGCATGGCTTTGCAAGCATCACGAGCATCTATCGGCATCGAATTGTTGAATCAGCCAATCAAATCCCGTTTATGCAAATCCCGCCAGTCAAAATCCCGTTTATGCAAATCCCGCCAGTGCAAGCGCAGCCAATCAAACCGCTGTGCAAGCTGGGAGAAGCCGAACCGCAGTTCATTTCCTCATATTCCAAACGAGATATTCGGTAGCAAATCACCCCCGGTTCTTTACGACGCAAAGAAACTATTTACGCGGGATAACCAAACCGGAGGAACCAGGCATGGAGGGAGGGTGCAGAGACAGTGGGTGAAACTGGTAAGCTTTTTTCCGCCTGTTTGATGGAGTTTATATTCAGTTTAGCTCTCGTTTTAGACATTGCTATTGGCTTTGTATGTCGGGGCGGGAGATTCATGTGATTGGTTTGGTTGGTCGCGTTGCTCGCAAAAAAAATCGCCCAAGGCTTCCAAGACCCCACGCCAGCAATCCAAGATTTTTGATTGGAGCCTGTAGTGTAGACGGGCCGTGAGTCTTTTCAATCCTGAAACTCCCCTCCAACCGGGGCCGCTCGCTCTCTTTTGTTGATCGCCCTTCGAAACGGGTGAAACCAGTTTCAATGTCCCGCTTCCATTGTAGGAATTCTTGCCATTGTCTGCTACCCCTTTAGTTTGAGCCCATCCTGTTATTAAGTTATGGAATACTAAATAAACTAAGTAAATCTAAGATACCTTACAGTTACAGCGGGCTCAATAGAAGAATCGATAAGAATATAGAATAATCGTCTTGAACTGGTTAATTAAATTAGTGTCCCTTTAAGGTTTTTACCCCTGTTAGCTTGTTTGTGGTAGGCTTGGTAAGCCCTAAATTTTATTAAAAAGGTATAATAAAAAAAAAAGACCATTGCTCCTTTAAATGCAATATGTAATTGGGGGTGCAAGTGGAGTCTCGGCAGAGGCAAAAAACTGTGGCGCGCGTAACACTGTAGGTGCGCGCGCAGTCCTGCTGATCTGGCCTGTAGGGAAGGGGCGGGACGGCCCTGCGAGTAAAAGCAAACGAGTTACTTTATTGTTAAGAGCAGTAAGCGAAGTATGTGTACTTATATTAGTTTTTTTAAAATGTAATAATAAATATTACTTTTTTTTTAAGTAAAAACGCCCCACTCTGTGGCTGAACACCAGTAACGCACAACAGCCACATGTGTGTTGCAGAAAAAAAAAAA